CAAAGAAACATGCTGATTCACCTGGAAATATTATATGTATGGCGCAAGCAGAAAAACTGCGCTAGATTAGGGCAGAGGCTTGTTCAGTCAAAAGCAAGTCAGTGGAAGAGTTGGATGTGTACTCCTGCCTGCACAGCCTCTCTTACCTCCTTCCCGACTTTTTGCAAGAGACGGACATGAACTCCCCAAAAAAATGATGTGTTGAAGCTTGATCGGATCATGAGGCCTGATCTACGCTTCATGGGGAAAGTTATACTGAAAGAAACAGGAGGAGGAGGTCTCGGAGGCTTGTGCCGGGGCATATGAACAATTTAAGACTATTTGTCACAAACTCAGTCGGGCTGGAAGAGAATGACTTAGGGAATGGATTGCAAAGGGAAGGGAAGGGGTTTCTTGGGGTTGCCTTTGCAACTAAAGAGGCTTTGTGGAATCCCTTAAAGCATTCGTATCTGTAGAGTATAGCCTTTCCTCTGTGATGTTCTTGATGAATTTGGCAGGGGTGATGTGGGGGGGGGGGGGGAGAATGTTTATCATCAAAGGGGAATGAGTGAGGGCCTGTGCAGTACCTTCAGGCTGAAACCTGTCTGATTTTCCCCCTGTGCCTGCCAATCTCTTTTGGAATCAAGGAGACGCCTCTTTAGCACAACCCCACGGCACCCTCTGTTCCTTTAGGTATTCTGTAATTACCCAGTGCCACACGAGTTCCTGAAGCTCCCTGGTTAACAGCCTCGGCCACCTGTTTGCTAGTCTCTCGCACAGTTAGCTTTTGCTTTATGCATAACGCCCTGCTCCTGGATTTCCTTGGAGATGTGTAATGTCCTCCAGCTCATCTCTGCTGGAATCTCCCTTTCAATCAGTAAGCTTTCCCCTACCCTTGCTGCTTGGGCAGGTATCTCCAAGGCAGAAGCAGTTCTGTTTATTTCAGCAAAGAGCTAGGATCACCAAAGGTTGCAAAAGCTGCCTTTGTGCATCCATTATTGCATTTGTGTTGCCTTCACCTTCCTGCTCCGCTCCCTGCTCTTCCAGTAAACTTAGGTGGGCTAGCAGCATGTATTCAGTTGTTTGTCCTGAGTTCTGTAGTCTGGATCAATGCTGACTATCATTAATACTAAGATCTTTTTCTGTTTGTTTCATTGTAGGAAGTGAGCAGAATGGGCTGGAATTTAGCAGGCAGGTAAGATTCTCCCTGGGTTACCAGGTATTCTCCTGCTTTCTTGAGTTACAGTATTTTAATTGGTTGTCTGGCTGGGTCCTGAGGAGCTACTGCTAAGAGATAAAGTGTTAGGTAATAAGCTACCGTTAAACAGACCGCATAAGTCCTTCCCAATTCCCTCTGTGGGACAGAATGACGCATTGTACTTCTGGTTTCCAGGCCTTCCAATTTCCTTGAAGTTTGGCTGATTATAGAGTTTCTTTAAATCACTATTTGCTGGAGGCTTTTTCTGGCTTTTTAATTTTTTCCACTGTCATTTAGAAACAAAAGGGACCTCAGTTACACTGGGGAACATGCAAATCCCACCGCAAAGCTCCATGCATTTGTACTGCATGTGACACTGGCACTGAAAGCACTGTGGTATGCAAGACTGAGAGCATGGGGCTGACTCACAGGAGTATCAGCAAGGACTGAAGATGAGGTGGTTTGAGGTCTTGGAGTGCCTCGGTCAAGACCAGGCCTGCCTGCAACGGCAGATTCCTCTTTGCAAGATAGTGGGGAAAGGGACAGTAGATAAATGCAAGCGCTTCTGAAAACCAGGGGAGCATGGCCCCGTTACAAATGGAAGTGAGAGTCTGGAGGACTGCTGTCTTTGCTGTGTTAGCTGGTGTCTATCTTGCTGTTTCTTGCAGCTAAAAGCAACTCCTGTCTCACTGACTGCCTGGAGATTTTCAGAGGTGGCTCTAAGGAAATCTCTGAGCCTAAAAACAGAATCGCAAGAGAAGGCAGGTGTCCGCCTTCCGGAGAATATAGACCTTGAGTCTGTGCAGAGGCATGAGAAAATGCTCTGAGCCCAGAGCTAAGGGCTGCTGTGGCCATCAGTAGCGTTGGACTGAGACCTTGTAAACTGAAGGGGGATTTCTGGAGTGCTAGCCCACCGACCTGCCACAGGGCTCTGGGCAGTGACCAAGGAGCTGGATTTGGGAAAGCAGACGGGGTTGTAACTCCATGGGCAATCGCTAGTATTTAAAGCAGATGTTGGCACTCTTACAGTCCAGCAGCCTTCCTGCCTCCGATTTTACGTTCCTCAGGTTCAAGGGTTGTGATCCTTTGCAAAGGATCTGCCGACAGCAGGCGGGCAGCTGAAGCCTCTCCTCGTGACTTTTGTGTCCTCCAAGTTTGCCTTGGTGGCTCTTTGTCTGACAGATGTCAGCAGGCTCCTGTTTGTTTGTTTGATTTGGCTGCTCTGGTTTTGGGTGGGTCGTAACTTCCTATCAAAAGTGTCTTAACATGTTCAGCCATCTTCCAGGTTTTTGGAAAACCCAGCTGAAAACAAAAAGTCCTGTGTCTCCAGCTCTGTGGATTGCAGAGCCCAAAGCACAGGCTTTCTATACGCCAAGAGAAGAATCCAATCTGCTCATAACTAGTGATAAAAGAAAATTCCCTCAAGATAGAAATAAGCTATGAAAGTACAAGATTGCATGTTGCAAACTTCTCCTATGGCAACACCACAAAGGTGTTAGAACTGGATCCTCGGCTGAGGTCAATCAAGGAGACGTTATTGACTGTGGTGAAGCAGTGCTGCTTTACACCAGCTGTTGATTTGACCCATTATCTCTAAGGTCCTAGTCCTCTGCGTGCCACTGAATGAGAGGATGCTGGTAAACTCATGGGGACAGAGAGCCTCGCAATCTGTAGGATTTGGGCCAGAGTCTGCTTGACAGAGACGTCCTCCTCCCCAAAAGAGATTGGGGTTTTGTGACAATCTTTTGCCACATTCTCTTCCCCCTTTTGTTTTTCTCCTTCCGCTGTGGGACCACAGAGTCCCTTTCATTTATGCCAGCGCATCTGTTCATGTAGTTGCATAGCAAACCTGCTTAAAACGCAAAATCCTGCGAACAAGCACATTTTAGTAGTTATTTCTGAAGCTAGCTTGGTTCCCCAGAACATCAGTGGCGTCCACAGAAGGGGTCTTGCGGTGCTGTCGGTGATGGGGTTATAACAGCTTCATGTGAATGTAACGGGCGCGAAGGGAGTGTGGCTCTTTGTCTCCCTCTCTTGGCTAGTCCGTGTATTTACTTGAGCCATTATTATCGTTGTCGTTATTATTATCGTTACTGTTATGATTATTTTAAACGAGAATGAGCCCAAATGCACACAGGTTATACACTCAGGTTTCAGGCTGACCTCACCTGTTGGTGAATTTATCTCCAGTTCAGCAAATACGTTTGAAATGACGAGAAGAAGGAAGAGCAGGGATATGGAAATATCAAAGGGTTTTCATGTAAAATGAGGTGCTGAGCTTTTTCATTAGGGATGGAGGTTGGTGGGGTTTTTAATTTTGGTTTGGGGTTGGGGGGGGTGAGGGGGGGTTGTTACCCTGCAGTTCAAGTTTTCAAACCAAAGCCAGAGAAGCATGGTTTGAAACTGAACTAGGGACTGAGCGTAAGAGCTGCTGAGCTCTCTTTGACTTCATTTGGAGTGCTGGGCGCTAATCACTTTGAAGATCATAAATCTCACATCATCTAAGCCTCTCCCCCAGTCTTTGTAGATGGCCTACATTTCAGGTCTGCTCCCCTCCCATGTTGCGCTCCAGGCAGGAAGAGAAGGGTGGAGTGACCTGGTTAGACCCCTTACTTGCCTACCGATTCCCTGCTGTGCCTGCTCTCACCTTGAAAACGGGGAGGAGGGAAACTCCTGTGGAGTTTGAGGTTTTCTCGCAGTTTGTGGGTCAGCCCTGCTCTTTATGAGAAAGCTGCCTTCTGATCCCTCAAACTTTTTGGCAAACGCTTCTCCCCGCGCCCCTCTTCAAACTCTCCTCCCACCTGGATGTAACAGCAATTTGTATGTGAATGAGAGGGGAAAGGGTGTGTATGGAAAAAGCAGCATCTTCTGCCTTGCTTATCTGGTTTGGCTTTTTATTTAGTGAGTCTAATGCCAGTTGTTTCCTGTTTATATCAAGGGAAATGCAAAGAGATAGCAATAAACTTTCACCTTCAGTGCTGGCAACCTGGATAGGGACATTTGCTTCTTGATGGCTTGGGATCCTGTCCAGAGTGTGTCACGGAGAGAAGTGAATAACTTGGCAAACGTGGCTTCAGAGCCTTGCAACAAAAGGGCGTCAAGTGGGACCTGGAAAAGATCTGACTGAAAGCGTCAAAATCAGGACTTTTCCATGGTATAATGCGGTGATGCTCACTAGGTGATGCTGCTTTGGTCTTACGAAGTCTTACTTGTTTTATTTCCCCATGGGTATACGTTGAGTGCGGCCTTCAGGGAAATATTGCATTGTTTGTTTCATAGATCACACTGAAGAAAGCTGTTCTAGAGAGCCACGTAACTCGCCCTTTGTCTGGAGTCAATCCCTGAGATAATACCTCTTTCTGGAATACAAACATTGAGCTGGGGCTGATGGTTTGGGGCCACAACAGTGGTTGTGCGCGTGGTGTGAGCATGGTCCGGTGCTATGCTTTATGCATCGATCCACAGTCAGAGTAGGAAAAGACCCAGGTTCTGAATCACTGATTCATTTTCCATGAGGAAAATTATGTGTAGGGTTGTCCTCTGTTAGTCCTTAGAGCAAGGAACTCTCTGAGCACCAGGGCAGAACGAAGGCTCGGGTCTCCTCTCCTTCCAGAGGAGAGAATGAGAGGTCCTCTCCAAGCCCCTTCATACTCTCAAGCACTGAGCTGCACTCTAGTGCTAGGAGGGAATAAGCCCCTTTTGATGTAAGGCTGAAGGGTTAGGCATGACCAGTGCAGGAAAGGTTTAGAAGTATCTGTGCATGCTCTATATGCAAGTATGACATGCAGTTTCATTCTAGCAAATGGTAAATCCATGCAGACAGGCTGTCATTGTTTAATGATAGTGACAGGTTTGATATTTATACCAATATAAAGGTGATCCTGCCATGAGACCTTGCAGTGTTTAAGACAGACAAGCACTAGTGTGCTTGAGCAGCCCAGTACTGAGCACAGCTTGAATTTTCCTATTTCCTGTGTTATTACATCCCGTTCCTACAAGCCTCCCATAAACAGGGTTTGGGGAAGGCTTTACCTGGGAAAAGAAGGTAACTTGGAGATGTATTGCTGGTGCAGGAGAGATCTCCAGAGAATAAAGGAAAGCATCCAGAGTAAAACAGAGAAACACAATTTGTATTTGAAGTGGCCTGGTATTACATATGCACATTAACTCAACACTTAAATTTGCACATCAGGACCTGCACACTGCCATTCTCACTGTTGCATATGACTTTAAGGGACAGGTTTCAAAACCACTCTGTTCCAGTGGTCAGTCAGCAGTAAATAATTGAGCCGCTAAAGACTCTAAGTCAGTAGGACTTGAGTAGATTTTTTTGGCCAATTGAGTGTGTCTGTTAGTGTTTGCCAAGAGCAGTGAGAAGCTAGGGCCTCTGAAAAATTCCTCCCTTCCAAAACCGAGTGAATGATCCTGTATGTTAGGATCCCCTGCCTCCTTCAAGAAGTGCCAAAGGGAAAGCCCCCTCAGGAGCCGCTTAGCTAATTCGTCTTCCAGCCCTGTTCATGTCTGACAGAGTCATTGTCCAAGGGACCTTAAATTTTTGAGTTTTACTTGACGTTTTCAAGAGTTGTTTTGAAGGCGAGAGTGAAAATTGTCTCAGGTCGTCACAGCTGATGTCTGTAGGCATAGGATGTGAGAAAGGAAAGTGGGCAAACTGCATCTGAGATCTAAAATTACTGGGGGCCCTTTTTCAGTGTCATTAATAACACTTTGACCTTGTTTGGTACTTTCCACCCACACGTCTGGAGTTACTTAGCTAATGAACTTAGCATCCCAGTGCCTCTGGAAGGCAGGGAGGTGTTTAACCCTGTCTTACAGATCAGGCAGGCAGAGACTGACTGCCTGGCTTTTCCCAAAGATGCAGAGTGCTGTGATTGCAGTTGAAATCAATGGCTGCTTTATAGGACAGTTGCCTGTGGACATTGAGGCATATTGTAATCCAGGGACTTGCCCCCAGTAGAGCTGGGATATGGACTCAGATT